CCGCCTCCACTCACGCCCCTGCCAGGCACTTCTGGGGTGCCAGCCCCATCATCAGTGGATGGCATCGAGGAGATCATTGTGGCCCAGGTGGACCACAGCCTGGGCTCAGTCTGGGTGCCCAGCCACCGGCAAGTGAACCCTCCCTCACTGCGGATGAAGAAGCTCAACTGGCAGAAGCTGCCATCCAACGTGGTGCGGGGTGAGCCCCCCACGGGAGGGACGGGGGGACAGAAGCTGCAGTCCAGTGTGGCCAGGGTGGAAACAGGTCCCACATCTGCAGAGGCTCCCCTCCCCTCTGCAGAGTCTGAGGCCACCCCTCCCACACCCGCAGATCCTGTGTGTGCCTACTGGTCATGTTCCAGGGCTGGGCTGGGTTCCTATATGGTCAGGAAGTCAGGGGCCACCTCTGCAGTGCCTCTGCACCCACATGATGTGTCACCCCTGTGGCACTGCCCTGCCTGTCTCCCTTTGCCAAGGACCTAGTGCTGCTGCCTCAAAAACGTGTTTGGGGCACGGGTGGGGTCGGGCTTCTTTCACACAGGCCGTTGTGCACACTGCGGCATGTCCACGTCCATGCAAAGCTCAGAGGCAGCTGGAAGGGAGTGGGCTTGCAGGCGCTTACTGGGGGCCTGCCACTGACTGTGGAAGGGCTCAGTGCCATGAGAACCCCGTCCCCCCACCCAGAGCGCCACTGCATGTGGGCATCACTGGGCAGCCTGGGCGCAGAGGCCGTGCAGCCTGACTTCTCCAGCATTGAGCAGCTCTTCTCCTTCCCCGTGGCGACCAAGCCAAAGGAGACGGCGGTTGCCTCCGCCAGGAAGGAGCCCAAGGAGGTGGGAGCCGGGCCAGGGGGGGCAGGGCCACCGGTCACCACCCGGCCTGAAAGTGACAGCCCCACACCTGCGTTTTCCAGATCACATTTCTCGATGCCAAGAAAAGCCTGAACCTGAACATCTTCCTGAAACAGTTCAAGTGGTGCGTGGGGCAGCCCGGCTGGGCCAAGGCTTCCTCCCTCCACTCAGCCCTGCCCCTGCAAGCCGCACCTAGCTCGGGCGCCCTCCACCCCAAGGCCCCAGGGATGCCCCCACCCTGCACCCCCAGCACAGGCAGGCTGAGCCCCTCTCTACTGGCGTCTCCCGCTGTTTACTCTGTGGCCCCAGGCAGCCCACACCTTCTCTGTGCCTGTGTCCTCCCCAGTCCTGGTCAGCTCAGCCCATGGGGACCCGAGTGTTGCTGCCTGTGGTCCATCTGCACAGGTGGCTCTGCAGGAGGACTCATGTACACACCCCCTCGCCCACCCCCCTTGCCGTCCTGCCAGCTCCAACCAGGAGATCGTGGCCATGATCCGTGCTGGGAACACCACCAAGTTTGATGTGGAGGTCCTGAAACAGCTGCTCAAACTCCTCCCTGAGAAGCATGAAGTGAGCAGGTCCCTGGCAGGGTGGGGCGGGGCAGGGAGGAGGGTCCCAGGCTCCAGAGGGAGGGCATCCTGAAGGCCCCCCGCAGGAGGATTAGACCCTACCAGGTGGCAACCAAATGCCTGTCTGGCCTCACCAGGTTGAAAACCTGCAGTCATTCAAGGGGAACCAGGACAAGTTGGCCAGCGCTGACCAGTTCTACCTGCTCCTGCTGGGCCTTCCTTGGTGAGGCTGGCTGTGAGGACAGTGAGGGGCCAGGCCAGGGTCCCATGGCACCCCTGGGAGGGCACAGCCCCCTGCTGTGGGAGGAGGCCTGCTCCTGTCTGAGATCCCACGCCTGGTCAGCATGTGGAACAAGGACTGGGCAGGTGGGGGGCAGGGAGCCAGGTGGGGGCCTGGGGCAGCGCCTGATGCCCGTTTGGCCCTCAGCTACCCGCTGCGGCTGGAGTGCATGCTGCTGTGTGAGGAGACGGCCAGCGTGCTGGACATGGTGCAGCCCAAGGCACAGTTGGTGCTAGCCGCCTGTGAGGGTGAGTGCCCGGGTCGGGACCCTGCTGTGCCTGCCCCATGATGCCTTCCTTCAGAGTGCCCACCAGCCCTCACTGTGTACCCTACTCCCTTTTGAGCACAGGCCTCTCCCAGAGCATGCCAGCCAATCCCCTCTTGGCTACTGCTGGGCACTAAAGGACACCACAAGTTCCAGAAGCTTCATAGACCCCTAGCACACAGCTGGGTGGGATGGTGGTCACCTCAGTTGTGGATGGTGGTGAGGGTTGTGGGGGGGTGCGGCTGCTCCCCTGGGGCAGCCTTCTGGGGGTGGTGCTAACAGGACCAGACCCTGTCAAGGGCCTGGGGTCATATGAGCAGCAAGGCGGCCGGTCCTTCACCCTGCCTCTGCCGCAGGCCTGCTCAACAGCCACCGGCTGCCCATCTTCTGTGAGCTGATCCTCAAGATCGGAAACTTTCTCAACTACGTGAGTCGGGGTCTCCAGCAAGCGCACCCCCTGCCCTCCTGCCCGGCCCACCTCACCTGAGGGCAGACTTACTTCCGGTCACCTGTCTGCAGGGCAGCCACACCGGTGACGCCGATGGCTTCAAGATCAGCACGCTGCTGAAACTCACGGAGACCAAGGCGCACCAGAGCCGTGTGACACTGCTGCACCACGTGCTCGAGGTGGGCGGGGCTGGGGCATAAAGTTGCGCCACTTCCGGGGTGGGCGGGGCAGAGTACAGGAGGCGGGGCCAGAGGGGCGGGGCTGGGGAGTAGGGTAGCTCCACAAGGCGTCGGAGGTGGTCCCGGAGGGGCTTGGGGACCCTGGAAGGGCACCCTTAAATGATCCCTGCTGCACCTGACTCCCTCTCGGGTCCCCTCTAGCCTAGCCTTTCTAGACACCCTTTCCCAGGCCTGTGCCTCATGCTTTCTGGCCTCCATGGTTCTTGGCCAACCTTTGGACGCTCCGCTAGGTCACCAGGCCCAGGGCCAGCTGTCCGCAGGTGCGGGACAGACACCAGGAGTCATGGCCTCCAGGCCAGGCTTTAGGGTAGCCTTTTGAGGCCCATAAGTAGATGGGGTCCAGGTAGGAGGGGGGCCTCCCCTGGAGCCGGGTGTGGCCTCACTGAGCACTTCTGACCCAGGTGGTGGAGCAGAGCCACCCCGACCTCCTGCAGCTGCCACAGGACCTGGAGAAGACCTCCCAGGCCGCGGGGTAGGCCTGGACCTGCCCACCAGCCCTGCCCCAACACCTGCTAGCCCCTCCCCTTCTCCTGCCAGTCCCACCTCTGCACCGCCTGCCAGCCCCGAAATTGGGTCCCATCAGTGCATCTGTAGCCAGGCTTCCTTTGGAGGCTGTGTGCAACCTGATTCCCAGCATGGTGACACCCACCCTCCCGGGGCCCCATAGCCCCTCCCCAGGAGACTTAACTCACAACACAGAGACTGAGGCTGGGTACCTGGGAGCCAACCTGCCTCACCCTTGTGCCTCTCTGTGAGGGAGGGTGAACCACCCTCCACTTCACATAGGGACACCTGCTGCAGGGCTGGGGGTGCCTTCCTGAGGAGCTCAGGCCCATCTGACCCAGTGTCTGTGCCCCGGCATGGGTGCCTTGGGGTGATGGCTACTGTCCCCTGGGAGGGTCACTGCCCTAACACTGACCCCACTGGAAGCACTTAGCCCTCCCGCCACTACCGTGGGGGCCTGAGGCACTTTCTCGAACTCTGTGGAGCTCACTGCAGGTACCCTGGGGGCGCAGCGGGTCAGGCATTGGGCTGCTAACCACATGGTCAGCAGTTCAAGACCACCAGGTGCCCTGGCAGAAAGATGCTGGGTTCTACTCCTATAGAGATTTAGTTAGAAAAACCATAGGAGCAGTTCTACCCTGCCCTAGAGGGTTGGCTGTGCGTCAGAAGCCAGCCAGGCAGTGGGTTTGGTCGCGGTGTGAGCCACAAGGTCCCAGAGTCATCTGAGCATGGGAAGTGCGGGTGCCCAAGTTGTTGCCCCCCCCCCTGAACACATCGCTTTCAGGATCCACCTTGAGGTCATCCGCGCCGAGGCCAGCACCAACCTGAAGAAGCTTCTGGAGACAGAGCGGAAGGTGTCCACCTCCATCACGGAGGTGCAGGAGCAGTTCGCTGAGCGCCTGCAGGCAAGCGACTGGGGAGGGCGGGACCCCTGAGGGTGGCCCTGGGCACCAAGATGCCCCACGTGTGCATGTCAGGGTGCAGGACCGCCTGCAGCTCTTCCTCCCCCTGCTGCGAGGAAGGGGCTGCGGGAGCTACGGCCGCAATGAAGGTGGGTGAGCGGTGTGCCCTGTGGGGCCTTGACCGCGCTGTGCCCCCAGGCCAGTATTGCGGCCTCGCGGGAGCTGGGCGAGGTGTTCGAGGCCATCGAGCAGAAGAAGCTGGAGCTGGCCGACTACCTGTGCGAGGACGCCCAGCAGCTGTCCCTGGAGGACATGCTCAACACCATGAAGACTTTCCGGGACCTTTTCATCCGAGCCCTTAAGGTGGGACCCGGAGCGGGGTGGGGCGGGGCGGGGGCGGAGACAGGGGCGGGGCGGGGCGGGGCGAGGCCAATTGGGCCCTCTTCAGGTACTGGACTGGGGAGGCAGCCCCTGGCCCTACTGGACAGCTCCCCAGCGGCATCCTTGTGTAACCTGACCCCCGACCCCAGGAGAACAAGGACAGGAAGGAGCAGGCAGCTAAGGCGGAGCGTCGGAGGAAGCAGCTGGCAGAGGAGGAGGCTCAGCGGCCACGGGGAGAGGATGGGAAGCCTGGTGAGCATAGCAGGAGGGAGGACAGATGGGCAAGGGGCGTGTGGGGAGGGTAGGCGACCACCAGCCTTGGTGGGGCTGTTCCCTCCCTCCCCGAACCCCACACCACCCCCAGGGCCATCTCCCCGCCCACATCCCAGCCGTGCCCCTTGGGAGGAGTCCCGCGGGCCGCCCTGAGGCTCCGGGACCTCCCAGTCAGGAGCAGCAGCGCCAGACAGGAGGAGGTCTGCGTCATTGACGCCCTGCTGGCCGACATCAGAAAAGGCTTCCGGCTGCGGAAGACGGCCCGGGGCCGGGCAGACGTGGAGGCCGGGGGCAGGCTTGCAGCAGCCCCCCCAAGGGACCAGGAGCCTGGTGAGACTTTTGGCCGTTCTCCTGTTACCACCACGCCTCCTCCAGGAAGCCCTCCCTGACCACACTGCCACTGGCCCTGAGGTGCAGTTGCTGCCAACTGAGCAGGGGCCTGGATGCAGCAAGGACGCTGAGGGGGAGAGGCTAGGGTCTGCTCTGGGGACCCTCAGGTGCATGGCAGGGTGACCCCTTCCTGCTTCCTATGGCTTGCCATGGACCCAGAATCCTGGGCCGTGCCCTGCCCATGGGGACACACACTCTAGGCCACCAGGCAGCCCCAAGACCAGCGGGAGGCTCCCGGAGGAGGGGCTGTGCTGAACGGGGGTGGGGTGCAGGTCCCCGCCCTTCCCTGACTCATCCCTTCCTCCACAGTGGCCCCCAGTGAGCCCCCGAGAGGCCCTGGCTGCCCAGCCCCCAAGGCAGGCCTCCCCTCTGAAGCCTCCTCAGAGCCTCGGGGATGGGACCTCTCGGATGCCCAGTGCGCCCCGGAGGGCCAATCCGAGAGGCGCTCTTCCTGGTACGCGGATGCCAGTGAGTCCCTGAGCACCGGAGACCCTCAGGGTCCCCAGCCTTCTGCAGGGCCCTGGCCAGTGGAGCTCGGGGACTCTCAGGCCCTGAAGCCCCTCAAGTTCTCGTGGAACCAAGCTCCCAGCCAGCCAGCCTCAGACCAAGGAACCTGGGACCTCACTGCCCCTCTGGGTGCCTGCCAGGCCGAGGCTGACAGCACCAGCCAGCAGCACGGGGACGCCAGCGGCCCCAGCACTGGTCTCCCGGATGGGGGTGGGGACGAGGAGGACACAGCCCCAGAGTCGGCGCTGGACACGTCGCTGGACAAGTCCTTCTCCGAGGATGCAGTGACCGACTCCTCGGGGTCCGGCAGCCTGCCCAGGACCCGAGCTCGGAGCTCCAAGGGCAGGCGGAGGTTAAAGCGACCCTCAAGGACACAGGACGGTGAGGAAGGCTTCCTCCCATCAGCCCCTGGGCAGGTGGAGGTGGGGTCCGGGGACGCTGCTGGCCACCCAACCTGGCAGCAGCTGGAGAGGTGGCTGGACCCCATGCTCATGTGGAGTCTGCCCGGAGCCTGCCTTCCTTCCTGGGGGAAGGTCCCTGTGGTCCCCACCCTCGGGCTGCTCACGCCTGGCGGCCCTTGAGCTGGTTTTTCTCCTGAAAGCAGAAGTGGCCACCGACTCAGATGGCGATAGGCCAGGCAGGTTCTGTGCCCTGCAGTGAGGTACGTACCCACCCGCTGCTCCGTGGGCTCTAATGGTGGTGGCAGCAGCGGTGGCAGCAGCCTCTCCCAGGCACTAACCCCAGCTTCTGGCCCGCTGGCGCCCTGGCCTCCCCTTGCCCCCTGCAGAAAGCTGCGCGGTCCAGCCTCCCTTGCGGGTGTCCCCTCCCCCAGAGCCAGACGCAACCTCAGAGCTGGCCCGCCGGGCCGACGGCCTGAGAGTGGGCAGGCAGGGCTGGGGTGCCACATCCAGGGCCCCTCCCCCGAGGGCACGATGGGGTGGGGGGCTTGGGACCCGCCCTCATCCGGCGGGACAGGCTGAGGTTGTGGCGACAGGTGGGTGACCATGGTCTGGCTAGCCCTTCCTTACGCTTGACTGACCTCTGCTCTCGGGGCGGACCCCTTCACCCTGGGGCTGGAGGTGCTGTCCCTGGGGGAGGAGGCCTTTGAGGGGCAGGGTCCTGAGGGCAGGTGCTGCCAGGGACAGGCACCCTGACTGCTGCCCCTGGAGGCAGCAGAAATACAGAACTCACAGCCACTGAGTCAATGCTGACTCATAGCGAACCTATGGACAGGGCAGGACTGCTCTTGTAGGTTCCCGACACTGTAAGTCCTTATGGGAGTAGAACGCCTCATTTTCTCCCTCAGAACGGCTGGTGGTTTTGAACTGCTGACCTTATAGTTAGCAGCCTGCCCCTAGGGCAGTACCGTGTGGCTGGGACCCCTGCCTGTGAACAGGGCACTGACAGGGCCCAGAGACGGGCCAGCAGAGGGGCCTGTCCACCCCCAGGCGCCCTGGTGGTGATGGTGCTCCTGGGCGTTGCAGCCCACCCTCTGCGGGTGCCTGGCTGGCTCTCCAAAAAGTGCCGGCACCTTTCCCAGGGCTGGGAATCCCAGTGGCAGCTCGCCGGGGCTCCTGGACAGAGGGTTGTGTTAGTCTGGGTAGACTAGAGAAACAAATCCATAGACACATGTGCATAAGAAAGGTTTGTATACAAGAACAATTGAATATTGAGAAAACATCCCAGCCCCGTCCAGATCAAGTCCATAAGCCTGATATTAGCCCATATGTCCGATACCAATCTATAAAGTCCTCTTCAGACTCACAAAACACATACAATGATGCCAAATGCAGGTCAGTGGGTGGGGAGTCGTGTGGATCCAGCGGCATTGTAAGAATCTCAGCTCTGGCAGGGGTCTCCACGTGGCTTCTCAGGGCACTAGTATCGTTCCATGTGTCTTGTCAGTAGAGCATCTCTCAGGGTGTGAGCTGAGAGAGAGAGAGCGAAGGAGACACTCCCGTCTCCAAGGAGGAAATACAGGAGTTCCCAGTATCCTCAGGGGAAGGCCATACCCACACAGAGGCCTCACTGGCTATATAATGATTGACAGGCTAGACTCCACCCCCTCACTCATAATCCTCTCAAATTGACAACAGATTATATAACTACCACAGGGGTATTGTGTGTTTGGGGGCTACGTCTGGGAGCACGTCTGCATCCTGTCGTTGGGGGCTGGGGCCATGTCTGGGTCTGCCTGGTTGACTAGAGACAAATCCAGTGACACTCCTGCGTGTGTAAGAAAGAACTTTCTATCAAGAAGTAACTGTCGAGAAAACACAGCCCAGTCCCTCTCGGCTAGTCCAGGAATCCTCTCCAGACTCATGCAGCCTTGCGCACTGATGCAGGGCGCAGGGAGGCCACAAGCAGTGCATGCTGACACATGGGTCTACGGTCAGAAACATCCGGGCTCATGTATCATCTGAGTGGCCAGGAGGCAAGACGGTGAAGGCAGAAAGAGGGATCAGGGTCCCCAGACAGGAGAAGGCCATGCCCATAGGGAGGCACCGGAGGTTGACCTGACTGACAGGTTGGATACCACCCCTACATTTTTTTCACCTCTTCAAGTTGATGTGAATTAGGTAGCTACCATATGCAGTCTGGGGGCTGGGACCACGTCTATACAGCTGTAGGGAGGCAGCACCCACTTTGGCCTGCAGGCTGCAGCCACCCTCCCCCACCCCTCCTTCCCATCAGCCTGTCTGGGGGACTGAGGGCAGGCAGAAGGGTTCTAAGGCCCTCCCCCTGACTGGAAACATTTCAATCCAGCTGAGGATTGTCAGATTCCTGGGCGCTGTCATGTGCTCCCTCTGTGCGCCCCCATCCCTCCCCACCGCGGTCCCATGGTTAACACCACCATAACCCCCTCTGCCCTCCACCCCCTGCTGAAACACCTGGTTGACACGTCAGGACACATCACCCTGGGACCTGTAGCAGGGAGCCCCTAAGGGCATGGACCAGGGGTGTAGGCAGCTCACCCAGAGGCACCAGATGGTCATTGGCTTTCTGAGAAATCTGCCCAGCGCCCATGGGCACAACTGCTCGGCATCTGGTTCTGTCCTGCGGCAGGCCAGGGCAGAGTGTGTGCAGGAAATCTGACCTGGGCCGCCAGCGAGGGGTCCCTGGATGGCCTGGGGCAATCCGCCAACACCTCCAGCAGCAGCCCCAGGGTTCTCATGAAATATTTTGCACCCGAGACCCTTCGGGATCACAGGGGCATCAGGCCTCCTGGGCCCTGCTGTTCCAGGAACAGTCCATCTGTCCTTAAGCCTTGGGCTTTGTATTTTGGGTTTTTGGGGGGAGGAGGGGAAGTGAGACTATGCAGAGCAGAACCCGCTGAGGCACCTCACCTCCTGAGTGTAACCCTGCCCCCTGCCCCTCCCCCCTAGCCACCCTGCCCCAGGGTCTCCACTGACCTCACACACTGGCACCTGGGTCACTCTTTAAAAGCCCATGATGCCCAGGGCAACCGGCACCGACATGTCCACACACACCTGGGGCTAGGGGGGTGCTCCCCGTGTGCTATTGCTCATCCCTCGCACAGACGTGACTCACTGGACCCCGCCATCCCCCATCCCCTGACTGTGTCCTGTCAGCGGCCCCTTCCCTGCCCCAGCCAGCTCCTAGTCCCACTCAGAGACCCAGACCCTCCTCCGCGCACCCTTGGGTCCTTCACCTGCTGCCTCTCAGGAGCGCTGGTTCTCGGACTGCACTGCGCTGCGGACACTCGGGGTGGCACAGGGAAGAGGGGGGCTGGCTGAGCAAGATTACAGTGCAGGGACTAACTGGGCAGAGGGGTAGGCTACAGCCTGATGGTGGGTCTGGGTCATGCACAGGGCCATGGGACCTGGTGCCTTCGGCGCTAAGGTGCAGGGAGAGTCAGCAGGGCGGGCCTGTGGCAGCAGAGGGGACCCACCAGGGCCAGAGCAGGGCCCAGCAGGCTGCAGGACAAGATATTATGGGGATTGGCTTAGAGCAAGCAGGCCCTAGTCGGAGTGGGGTCTGTGCGGCACCCCTTTGCAGGAGGTGCACACCCGCACGCTGGCCAGGTCTCTCCAGGCCTACCTACACAGGAGCAACCTGCCAGAATCAAGGGCACATGCCCTGCTCTGCCTGTGTGGCCTGGGGCTACCACATGGGGAGCCAGGCCACTCCTGTCAATGTCCTCTCCCCACAGGCCCCAGGCTCAAGCCCAAAGCCAAGTGAGCGGCCAGAGGGCTGCCTGGCTTCGCCTCAGATGGACGTGCTGCTGGGACCAGCACCAGTGCCTTACCCAGCAGCGCCAGTGGGACCCCCGGATCATCAAAGTGCAGCGGGGGACCCCGGCAGACACCCCCCAGCCCAGCTTCCCCTGCATGCATGTGACCCCGTGCTGCAGGGGTCAGGCACCCTCCAGCCTCTCTCCCCGATCCTGCCATAGCCATGCTTCCCTGCACCCCCGGGACACCCCTGCTTCTGAGACTGAGACACGGTCCTCGCTGCCCACCGCCCCAGGACCCTGGGAACCCGAGAGAGCCCCCACCCAGCTCACCTCCCAGCTTAGCTGGGCACAAGCAATCTGGAGCCCCACTGCCCAGGTGGCTGAGGGACTAGGTGGGTTGCAGAAGGGGGGAATCCCATCCTTATGTATCTAGGAGGTAAGGGTACACAGCCAGAACTGGCCTCACCAGCAGAAAGCTCCCTGCAGCTGCTGCCCCCAACACTAGAGGGGGTTGGATCCCAGGGCCTGGCCTGGTGGTAACCCAGGAACAAGAAGGAACCAGCCAGAGAGCCCTCACTGCCCAAGGAGTGTGTGCCCTACCCCTGTCCCCTGAGTGTTCGGCCCCAGCACCACCTGGATGGGGTGCCAGCAGCCACCTTCCGCAATAAAGAGCATGCCTCCCCACACCTGTCCCTGCTGTGCTGACGTGGGCCGGGCAGTGTGAACGTTAGCGTGCCTGGAGGGATATGACGCACATCTCCTACAGCAGCCACACTGACAAAGTGGGTCCTCTTTTTTTTGGG